TATTATTATTATTATTAATAATAATAATTGATTAAATAATTAATTTTTATTTAATTTTTATTTTATTTTATAATAATCTACCTTTTTAACATTATTTTTTAAGACTCCAAGACATTTGCACTGATGAGTATATAAAGTTATGAGGAAATAAGGCCACCATCTCTGCCCCAGGGATCCAAAAATATTGAGGAAAAAAAAATATCTCTTCAGGTCATAAATTCTCTCAAAAATATTTAATTTCATCTCATTTAATTTAAGATAATTCAATTTAATTCACTTTAATTTAATTGTAATTAATTTAATTTAATTTATTAAATTTATATAAATGAAACAAAATATTGAATGTCGTTTCTTCAGTTATCAGTGATCTGAAAATAATCAGTAGGCTACACATAGCCTAGCCGAGTTTTAGTAATCCTCTTTGATTTATTGACAGGTGACTGTCTGAATCCTTTTGATCATTTTCCAGTCCAGTGTCTTTTAATTTTACTCTTATTGCACCACCCCACTGCAGGGCTTTTATTTTGACCGTTGTGAGAGGAAGTGATGTGCTGTGATTTCCTCTGTCTTGACGGTGGTCCTGCAGACTCTGCGTCACCACTACAATTTAACTTCTGTCCATAATTAGTGAGAAACAGGATCCGGGCTGCAGGCCAGCTCTCACTGAACATAAAGAAACTGAAGGGCTCCTGATGTCGCAGATCGGTGTGTGTGCGTGTGTGTGTGTGTGTGTGTGTGTGTGTGTGTGTGTGTGTGTGTGGTTTCTCGGTAAAGTTGAGATCATCTGAACTCTCCGTCTGGTTTCCTAAAAACAGCTTCAGTGTTTCTGCAGGTCCTGGAAAAGCCTTGAAGACAGTTTTAGATCTGATATTCTTTTAATGACAACTCTGCTATTTTTAGTTGTTGTTCAGATTTATTTCAAAGCAAACAGAAAGCTAAACAAGTCTGCCTTCTTAAGAAACACCTCAGCCACTCACCAAAATGAGGCAGAGTGGCTGCAGATGAGCTGCACACACAGGGTCTTTGTCAGAACTTTTCATTGTTATGTAACACTTGACTTTTTCTTTTTCTGACAATCAGATTGCTGCCGGGGGAAAAAGCTGTTTTTGTAAGAAAAAAACTTTCATTTATTCCTGTATGAAAAATCTTCAGCATCAGCTTTTCTAAAAAAAAAAAAAAAAAAGAGTCCAGCCGTCAGGTTGAGCTCTGTTTGTTTTCGGAGCTCACACTGTTCTGCAGCAGTCAGTGCGTGTGGTGTGTAACAGCAGATTTGTTTTGCTTCACTTTTTACGGCCTCAAACTGAGTCCAGTCTCTCTGCAGTCTGCTGCACCTGACGTGGAGACGCAAAGCCTGCTGGGAATTTGGTTTAATGTACAGCACCAGAACTCTGCACAGTCTGTAGCGAACACACATATCAAGTTAATGGTTTACAGTTTTACGCTACAGAGAGCTGACTCAAACCTGCGTGTTCATCATTTACATATGGAAGATCGAGGCAGCGGACTGAGGCAGCAGGCACTGTTGCATTATGGGAGTCTTATGTAAGAGCAGATGGGCTGTGGCTGACTCATGGATTTATGGGCTGTGGGCTTCTTTGGAAAACACGTCAAGGATACCAAGAGCTGGGGAGCGAACACATGAGTCAGGAGGTTGATAAATAAATAGGTGAATGGGTGAATTGATGAATAAGTGACTAAGAGGCCAACCATAGGACTGCTTCTTTCATTTCTAGCACTGACACATGAAGCTCTAACCAAAGTACAGTCAGGAAGACAGTACTTGTCATGCTCAGGCTTTAAGTGTTCTCCTTGCACTTTCTCTAGGTGTGTCTGGGTCTGTTAACTGAGTCATCAGCTGATTCACAATCAGCCAGTAGCACAGCGACACACCCTCTCTATCAGCCTATCATCTTACTGCTCCTCATTTTAAACATGGTTCTTTCTCTGTCATAGTTCTTTCTTGCTGCCACGACCTCCACCTCCCCATCACCACCTAGTCTTTATGGATTCATCAGCCTCATCCGCCTCATCAGCCTCAGAGTCAGCAGCCGCCACCACCAGTGTCTGGACTCATGGGCAACCCGGTCTCACTCTGAAGTCGTCAAAATCTGGCCCTGGGGCAGTGACTTGCAGCGTCAGACTCTGATGAAAAATCCATCCAAATGGCTCACAAAGTGGTAATTACCAGTGTTAAAAATGAAAATGGGGCCATAAAATGAAACCAGTGAAGACCTCAGCTAAATGTAACTTTCTTCCTATCTAACATTCTGCTCTTTACAGTAAAATACCAAGAATAAATATAAATTTAAAACTTCTATGGAAAAATGGAGAATGCAGATAATATTCACTGACAGACTAATTTGATACCATTTTCTGGTTACGGGCACACTCCTCGTGATTCTGACAGGCAGTGTTCCTGTACTAAACTGAACAGAAGTTGGGAAGAGGAGGACCAGTTGGCAGAGAGGAAACTGCAGTATTTATAACCCACATAAGCATCAAAGCTGCTGACCTACACAACTTTTTAAAGTCTGGGCACTCCTGGAGAAAAGTGCCAAAAAAGAAAAGAAAAACAGAACGCTGCCTCCGGGTTTTCCACCCTGATCCTAAAGAAGGTCCTGCACAGGGAAAGTTAAAGATTTGAGGCTCATACACTGAATCTCTGCATCTTCACTCACTGTAAATAAAAAACACATTTATTTGAAGTGTTCAGAGTAAAAAGACAGTAAAGCCAATAATTTTATTTCCTGTGTATGTGAGTCTCTGCAGAAAGGACAAAATGAAAGACAGACTAACTTTAACTAACAAAACTTTATAGATTATGAAGAATCAAATTAATTTTTGACTCTTCTGATGCCAGGAAGCAGCAGAATCTAACCATGTACTTTTGCTTGTGAAGTTGCCAAAATATCCAGAAGGAGCTCGGAGTAGAGCCGATGCTCCTTCGCATTGAGAGGGGTCAGTTGAGGTGGTTCAGGCATCTGATCCGGGTGCACCCTGAGCATCTCCCGTTAGAGGTTTTCTGGGCATGTCCCACTGGTAGGAGGCCTTGGGACAGACCCAGAACACGCTGGAGGGATTACATATCTCGTCTGGCCTGAGAACGCCTTGGGGTCCACCAGGAGGAGCTGGAAAGGGTTGCTGGGGAGAGTGATGTCTGGGGTGCTTGGCTTAGCCTGATGCCCCAGCAACCTGGCCCTGGAATGGATGGATGGATGGATGGATGGAAGTAAATCTAAAAGATGCCTATATGTCCAGATTAATACAGGAAAAGTGAAACAAAAGATGTCTATCTTACATATAACCAGTTGTTTTAAAAGCATTTAGATGACTTTATTTCTTTGTTAAAATCACTGGTGTAGGTATGGCCATTCTGTATAAAAGGGTACGATCACAGAGTGGGGGGACAGTTGTCTCGCTTTTAAGCCATCATTGGAGGTAGTAACAGCGCTGAAATGTCTGTGTAGACGGGACAACAGCAGGACTGGATCATGGGCAGCAAGTTTTGACAGTGTTTTATGTGTGCTACTCACACCGGAGAGTTTAAAAAACAAACAAACAAAAAAAAAACAGCTAATAGCAGTTAGCAGCTAACTCAAAGAGCCAAAAATGATGTTCAGGAGCTCCTCACCTTTCAAACAGAAGATGACATCAGCTGCCATATAAAAGACAGAGTTAATGTTTGTTATTGCCATGTTATGTCATTTGCCGTTGTTTGTAAAGGGCTGCCGACACCTCTGTTATATGTCACACTAGAGGCCGATGCTGTTGTGTTACATGTCACACCCATCACGCCTCTTTTGCTTTCACAACGCGGGCATGCTGTCTAAAATCAAACACTGGAGCTGCATGATGACGCTGTTGTTTGGTTTTGTGTAAAAATGCAAAGGTGGCATGAAGAAGCGACTTTGTAGTGGCCCCACAGTGCGAGCTCTGTGTAAAAACAGCTATTGAAAATGTGTCGATTGCAGATGTGTTATAGAGAGAAAAAAGTTGCAAGTGAATAAAATGCAAACAAAGTAAGTAACACAGTGACTCTCGAGGTGTGTGTGTGTGTGTGTGTGTGTGTGTGTACAGATGATTGGTGGTTCTGTTTATTTACTGTGATCACTGTCAGTTTGCACTGATGTGAGAACACAGGATCTGAGAGGGAGGAGAGGCATCTGTTGTCAGGAGGAATATTTGGTTTGATTCATAGCAACGCCTCAAACAGTGGGAGAGAGAGAGAGAGAGAGAGAGAGAGAGGGAGCAGAATGAACATCTGGGATAGAGAGGAGCAGAATCCTCTTTTCAGACCTTTTGGCAGCAACACACACACACGCCTTTCCTCAAAAACTGGAGAGAGGTTACTTTAGTTCAACTGCAATCCAGAGAGGGAGAGAAAGAGAGTGTGTGTGAGACAGAGAGAGAGAGAAGAGGAGGGTGAATGGCGCACACATTTCCTGCACATGAGGGTGTGTTTCTGTATCCGTTCGTAACATTTCAGTACACAAAAGTGTGTCTGAGCAGCGCTGAAAGACGGAGAAGATGAGAGGAAGAAAGGGGGAAAGAAGTGAAAGTAAAACAAGGGAAAAAACATGGAAGAAATGAAAAACAAAAAAAAAACAAGTAAATGTACAGATGCAAAGAGAAAAGCTGCTGTGATAATGTCTGGCAGGAAAAGTGGGGAAACAATTAAGAAAATAAAAGAAATACAAACAAAAAACTTTTTCATCCTTTCAACTTTTTCTTGGTAATGTCCCTTTTTTTCCTGCCTCTTGAACATTTACCTATATAACAAATCACTTGTGATGTCTTCTTCTACCACAAGAGGGTGCTGTTTACCCATGATTCACATGGTCAGCATTCATTTCACTGATGGCAGCAATTGACATACAGTTGTTCTCACTGTATCACTGTATCACTGCTTAAGCTGCAATGTGACTCTGTGTGAGACTATTCTCAGTCTATTGGATCTGACCGCTCAAGAACCTCCAAGGTTGTTTATTGTGGAGCATTCAAAAGCCTCCAGTTTTCACCGTTTGGTGTGTCAATTTTAGGATTTTAACCAAACATTAAATCGTATGTGTTTGTCAGTGTAGCTCCGCTGCTTCTGTTTGACCAATAGAAGTCAGACTGAGCTTTGAAACCTTGGATGGATAACTGCACATGCCTACCTGGCACCATTCTCGGAACCCATGGGCTGTATTCAGCGGCAATGCAGCCTCTGGGGGCAGACCCCCGATTTTTTGGCATTCCGGTTTGATTAGGGCGGAGGAGGCGAATTTCCGTTTCCGACTTCCGTTTATATATAAGTAAATATGCTGAACCATTGCAATGGGTTCAGAGTTTGCAGTGACGTCAATTATGTTCCGCCTCGTTAGTTCACCGCACAGACCATTTAACCTGGCAACATCTGCAGCTGGCTCAAACGTGATTGGTCAATATCACGCGGACTACAAACAGCCTAGCACCAGAAACCAGGGCTCTTCCGGTTCAAGATCTCCAGGGTTTGCCTATAGACTCTACATTCACTGAATGTAGAGTCTGATAGAGACTAAAAAAAGAGTGACAATAGCCCTTTTTACACAGAGAACGCATTATGGGGCCGCTAAGAAGTCCCTTCTCTAGGCTGCCTTTGCATTTTTACACAGAGCCAAACAACAGCGTCATCATGCCACTCCAGTGTGTGACTTCAGACAGTATGCTGGCATTGTGGAAGCAAAACAACTAGCTTGGTAAGACCATCCTAAAGACATGAGCTCAACATTCTGTTTCGCTCTCTGTATCAGTCTGGCCCCGCTGCCAAAACACCTTCAGTGGGTAGAAGCATTCACCTCAACAGGCAGGTCTTTCAGTGTAACAAAACACCAGGGCCATCTCCAAATCCAGGCGGACGAACGAATACAAAATACAAAAATGTATTTTCCTCTGAAAAACTCCTTGAGTACAGTGTTGTTATTGACTCTATTTCTGCAATAACTTCACTTATTACTGTGTTTACTCCACTGACGTTAGAGTTAGGTGGCATGGTGGTGCAGTGCTTAGCATTGTGCCTCACAGCAAGAGGGTTCCTGGTTTGAACCCCAGGGTGCGGGAGCCCCTCTGTGCGGAGTTTACATGTTTTTCCCAGCTTCCTCCCACAGTCCAAAGACATGCAGGTTAATTGGTGACTCTAAATTGTCCGTACGTGTGAATATGAGTGTGAATGGTTGTCTGTCTCTATGTGTCAGCCCTGTGATAGTCTGGTGACCTGTCCAGGGTGTACCCTGCCTCTCACCCATTGTCAGCTGGGATAGGCTCCAGCACCCCTGTGACCCTCAACAGGATAAAGGGTTATGAATAATGAATGACTGAATGAACGATAGAGTTAGCACTTGTTGCTTTGCGAGCAACCATTACTCTCCTGCAAGCTGTTGCCTGCATTTTACATGTCGACTACAGTGCAGATCCCTGACTGGGCATGATGGGATTTTAATTTCTGAAAAGTGTTTAAGGCGGCACTGAGTCCAAGCTGATACAGAGAGCAACACAGAATGTTGAGCTCACATCAGGATTGTCTTACTGGGCTACAAATCAACCACAAAGAGACACAAAAACATAGACAAAAGACACAAAATGACCTCAAAGAGACACAAAACCACAAAAAGATCCATGTTAGTTGTGCATATTGTGTGTCAATGTCTGGCTTGTAATGTCATGTGACTAATGTGATGTGAATTATGTCTATGTTTGATGTAAATGACAGTGATATGTGTTGAGCTTACCCACCCTGCTGTGCTGAAAACTAATTGCACTGACTTCAGCCATGTGGTCCTTAAAGCCTCTGGAAACCCAAATCCACAATAGCCTTCTAACTATGTAATTTAGGGTCTTATGTACATAATATTAAACATGTAAAAACAATTAGAAATCAGTTTCCATCCAAATTCGAAATATCTGTCTTTTAAGTTTTTGTACATTCTTGAAATTGGGTTTGATTTGGCAATGGTTATCTCTGAGATTTATTACGCAATAAATTCCAAACCAATATAAATCATCCGTCAGTTGTCTCATCCCGCCCCCCAGTGGCAGCGCAACAAACCTTTCCGCTCCAGCTAAATCTGCCTCTTTGAGTCTGAGCCAACAAACAGCTTTCTAGTCTGATGTTTAGAAAATACAGATCGTAAACTGGCTGAACCACTCGTCTGCGACCCAGCGGAGGCTCTGGGCTCCCAGCAGCACTCGAATCAGGTTGACCGGCTCCAGAGCCCGGACAATCCGAGCCTTTGCAGCTCGTGGAGCTGCAGGAAGAGGCGGCTTGTGAGCGGCCGGGCTTGCCCCCCGGGCCCGGTGCCAGTGTCGCGGGGAGGGGACGTAATGTGTACCCTTCCTCACCCCTAACCCCAACCCCAAGCAGTTAGCTTTGCTACGCATAAACATATCCGCAATCGTAGAGGTGATGCTGCGGGAAACAACACAATTTTAGCCGGAGGGGAACATTATTCGAGGCGGGCGAATACTTCTAACGCCAGAGAGATGGCTGGCCGGCACCGGTCTCTCCCGCTTTGTGGGTCGGTGTGTGTGTCAGAGTAAAGACATATTTAATCTATTGAGATTGGATGTGTTTGAATGAAAAAGGCTATTATCAGAAAAACGGAGCAGATTTATGTTTTCAATGAAAACGTATCTCAATGAAGGAAGGCAAAGCGCTAGCCTCCTGTTGTCATTCATCTCAGCTAACATTGCATGTAAAAGTTATGCTAACTATTCTACGAAGTAACATCAATATGAATCACAAAACATTTTGAAACTTACCATTCGGTGACCACCTGAAAGGAATCATTTTCAGCTTCTGCTTCGTCCTCTGAATCATCAGAGGGCTCAAACATGTACGGCTGGATTAAATTTGTGGCAGCCATTGCTGAGCCAGGGGAGATGTCAATCAAAACAAGGGAGCTGTCAATCAGAGCGTTATCTGCTATCTGCCATGCCCACTCTGTCCTGGCAAGTGGTCTAAACAGCAAAATGAGCTGTTTTTAAACCAGGTTTTCTAATAGTTATTAATGGTTATTTTTTCACTCAGACTTTTGTGGATGATTAATGAGACACTCGACTTTGATATACATACATATGCATTTTTACTATTTCAAGCTGTGTTTCCAAAGGCTTTAATAAATGACTGAACAAAGAGAAGCAAAAACAATGACAACATCAGCAACAAAGAGGGAAAACCACCACAAAAGTCTGTATTTCTTGATTCTATGTATGAAAGGTGGTGGGGCCTTTTGTATATCTGTGCCCAGGGGCCCATTGTCTCATGGCTGAGTCCTGACCCTAAAAAAAAATGCAAGGAGCTGCACAGGTTCTTGAAACAGATCTGTGAGTCTGAGGGCTTATGAGATGCCAAAACACTGTGCAGTGGTTTATGACACTGAGACAGGATTTTATAACTCTGAAAAGCTGTTACAGTGATGAGTAATTATCTTTTATCGTAGGCATGGGATGAGCTGCGTCTTCATAAACCGTCCCATATTAGTAAGTTGCTTATTTTTCATCGCTGTGTAAACAGTTGAAATCCCGTCTTCATGTTACAAGGTAATCTACCAGGAATGTGCACATGTTGGATTGGCCAACCAAGCACTTTGCCAGATGGTGTCACACTGCACAGCAGCAAAATATGAGCCATGATGTCGTCCTGCTCATCAGATTGGAAAACACCTCGATGTGTCGTTCTAGAAGGTGTCGACAGACGATTGTTTTGGTCTGTAATGTGGAGAGCTTTCATGCACTGCTCATGCTGGACTGAAAGCAGCCTTATCAGGTGATTTTGCAGAGAGAACTTCTAAATCATATGTATTTATTCACTCAGGTCATGTGACTTGACTAGTCTGCTAATGTAGAGGTGAAAGCAGCAGGTACTTTAGAACAGACAGAACAAAAGTTTGAATCTGAAATATGAAGCTGACAAAAAAATGCAAGCAACATAATAACCTCCACACCACCGGGATTTAAAGAGAGAGGAAAGGCAGGTGACTCAAGCAAATGTTTAAGAAATCAGCTTTTAAATGCACCAGCATATATCAGACTTGTTTTCTCCTCTTTATCTACAACCTTCTCATAATATTCTGAAAACAAAAAAACAAGATGTAATATGTTTTGATGACCCCACCTTTTATTGTTCTCAGAAAGGTCACATGATGGAAATACAAGGTTTTCACCTGATACGTCCATGTTTGTCTCGATTCATTTGTTGCGTGTGTGTGTGTGTGTATGTTTTTGTCAGTGTCCCTCTGTGTGTCTGTGTGTGTATGGTGACCCAGTAACATCCTGCCACAGAGCTTTGAGACTTTGTCCCCCCGGACTTCAGCACAGTAGGCCTCTGTCTGTGTGTGTGTTTGTTTGTGTGTGTGTGTGTGTGTGTATGTGTGTGTGTGCGTGTGCTCTTGCTCTTGTGTTTGTGAGTGCTGACCTTGAGATGTTGTAGAAATGGAGGATATCTTGTCCTGTCAGGCTAGAATTAGGTGTAGGTTAGTGTGTCAGTCGGGTCCTCCCAAGTATAGCAGGGCAAAATGCGTGTGTGTGTGTGTGTGTGTGTGTGTGTGTGTATGTGTGTGTGTGTGTGTGTGTGTGTGTATTTATGTATGTTTTTGTCAGTGTCCCTCTCTGTCCCACAGACATTTAGTGCCTCACATTACCACCTATTTACAGCCTCCTGCTCCTGCTGCTGTAGAAATATGATCTAATTAATCACACACATCAAACAGCTCTAATGTTGGACTCTGGTGTGTGTGTGGTGTGTGGTGTGTGGTGTGTGTGTGTGTGTGTGTGAGAGAGAGACAGAGATGCACCTGCTGGGCTATCTCTGAGACCATGCTTTAAACACAGACCCATGTTTGATTCAGACTAAAATTAGGTGTGATTTGTGATCAGTGTGACAATAAATGGATTTATTATGATGAGAATGAGAACTAAGAATCTGTATCTATGCTGGTGATGTCACAAGTCCCACAAAAAGAATAAATTATTAGCAGCCCCTCAGTGATAAACAGCATCGGAAAAAGAGTGATTTGAAATGTAAAACTGCTTTATTCAGTGTTTCTACTGGTTTAATCACCTGGTTCATTTGTTAAGGACACAAAGACACCTCTGCGGATAACTCAGCTGCCGGTGAAATCCTCCTGAACGTCTGGATCTTGAACTATCAGACACAAAAAGTGAGCATATATTAGCACATGGTGGGTAAGCTGCCTTATCCGACAGAGAGCTCACTCAACCAGAAAAGGATGTCGCTGCCAAGAGACTGAACCTTGCTGTAACACCAGAACAGATACCGGCACTAGATCTCAGCCATCAGAAACAACAAGCTGGCGGACACAGAGGCAGAACAACTCATGTTGAAGGTATCAGCAGCTCATACTAATGAACAAGCATCCTCGTCCAACCTCACCACTGATGAAAGGAAGGCCCTGGGATCACGGGAGAAAGACTGGAACACCACCATCTTGCCAGCAGACAAAGAGGGGATGCACTGTAGACAGCAGCTATCATGCAAAAGTTACCAATCTGCTCAGCGACACTGAGGCAAGATCATACCAGTGCCTATAAAAAGAAGGTGATAGACTATGTGCCAAAACTGGAAAAGGATAAGAAGCCTATTGGATGAGAGGTGAAATGTCTTCAAAGAGCAAAAGCAAGTCCAGGTGCCTACGACCGAGCAGACTCTGTAGCATGTCATATAAGTCGGTCCAGCAACACCATAGTGCATATGATTCCACTGCATAACTAAGAAACAAAAGACAAAACATTTACATTTACATTTACATTTACATTTACAGAAGTAAGAGCGACAGCACAGAAAGTCCGTTGAGGTTTAAAGCCCAGAGGAAAATGGAGTCAAGGGAATACAGTAAAAATAATTCTAACTACAGTATTGTTCCTGTCATGGATTCTACTTTTGACGTGGCTTGTCACCATGAACTTCAAGGAGCTGCAAACTGTGACTCATTCCAAACTGCACCATCCAAAATAGAGCAGAGGTCCAGATCAGATATCTTGGACTGTTTCACCACATAAGAAAGACATTTAAATTTCGAAGCACAGACACTGGAAAAGTGCGGAGACGGCCAGAACATGGCAGCTTGACAATTTCAAAAGGTTGCCGAACTTAGTGCTGAACTACTTTTGTCCATGTGTTCAGTAAAGCACATTTCTTGTCCCTCAGAGACATATAAACACATGATTTGCCCTGACTTGACCTGCTTACAGCCACACATTCCTATATGGTTGATTAAATTTAAACTTGACCTTCTATAAAGTTTTACTGTTTTGAATTCAGATGTCATCATTTTGAACTCCTCAAGTTCCTCACGTGAGCAAAACACATGCTGGTGACCATAAAACTGTTTGACTTTTCCCAGTATGTTGAAGGTATAATTATAGTATGATATGCATACTGTTTATAGATGTCTTGCCCTGTACTTTAGTTGAACCAGGTCAGCATGCACTATGTGATTGCATGTCATCCATATGTCTCTGCACCGTATTTCACATACTGGTGCATCTGAGTGTTAATGGTTTGAAATTTACATGTTGTTCATACCTAACAGTGGCCTCAACAAAAAAACAACTTGACTAAAAACATTTCTAAGGTAGGAATACAATCTGACTGAATGAAAAAAAAAACTTGTTTCCTGCAATTTTAAAGCTTTTAATCCTACAGTTTCCATGTCAAAGGCAATATAAGTAAACAACCACTTATTTTAAAAGGAGTGAAGAGTTTTTGAAGAAATACCATCACTTAGTTAAAGGAGCAGTGTGTAGGATTTAGTGGCATCTAGCGCTTAGGATTTCAGATCGCAACCAAAGTAAAATGAAATAATCAAACAATAAAACATGCAATCAATAAAATCCAAGACCATTATAACAATTACAACAACGCAACAAGAAGAAAGTTAAAGGAAAGACCATAAAACATAGAGCAAATAGGCGATTGAGGACCCAAAAAGAAACACACCAAGGAACAAACATGAGACTATTAGGGGTGGGACAAAGGCCGTTTTGAAAAGATGGGTCTCCAGTTGATTTTTAAAAGTTTCTATGGAGACCACAGACCGTAAACCTAATGGAAGGGAGCTCCATGGTGATGGAGCCACTGCTTCAAAGGCACGATCACCTTTTGTTTTGAGTCTGGAGCAGAGGACAGCCAGTAGGTCCTGACTTGAAGACCTGAGAGACCAACTGACAATAAATGGATGGAGGAGGTCACTGACGTATTTAGGTGCCTGACCATGGAGGACTCTATACGTGAAAACAAAATCTTTGAAATGAATCCTGAACTTGATGGGAAGCCAGAGTAAAGAAACTAAAATGGGAGTGATGTGGGTTGCCCTGTTGGACCTGGTTAAGTGGTAGGCCACAAAAGCATGGATAAACATCTCTAGCTCAGATGGAAACACCGTAGACCCTGAAAAAAGCAATTTGATGTTAAACTCATTGTTCTTACAAAGCGGTTTGGCCCGTTATGGAAGGACTGCTAATTACGGTGCCCGACTCAAAAACACGAATGGCCCTATGGAGAACCACTTTTTGGTTTGTCCTTTCTTGGCCATTGTAGAAACATGGAGATGCAACATGACAATCTCTGTGGAAGAGGACCCGCATACGTACTAGTTATGTTATTTTCAATATCTGGACCTTATATGGTAAAGAACAAGGTAGAAAACTGTATTACCATTATCCATCCATTTTCTAACCGCTTATCCTCTTGAGGGTTGCAGGGGGGCTTGAGCCTATCCCAGCTGACACTGGGCGAGAGGCGGGGTACACCCTGGACAGGTCGCCAGACTATCACAGGGCTGACACATAGAGACAGACAACCAACCATTCACACTCTCACCTATGAACAATTCACCAATTGTCACAGTTAACCAATTAATTAATTGTCACCAATTAAGATCTCCCCGATCTGAGTGTCTTTGGACTGTGGGAGGAAGCCGAAGTACCCGGAGAAAACCCACACTGACAAGGGGAGAACATGAGAGGGGTTCCCACACCAGGGATCGAACCAGGAATCCTCTTGCTGTCAGGCAACAGTGCTAACCACTACACCACTGTGCAGCCCTGTATTGCCATAATTACTGTATCTTTTAAATATATTGTCACAGTAGAGTAAAGCAGCTGTTAATTTCCTTGTCTGTGGGTGAACATCTCTACTTCCAGAGGTCTGTACTGGTGTTGCTATCATATTATTTCCTTTCCGTAGCTGATACAGGTCAGCAGCATGGATTTATTACAAAGAACTGGATACAGCTGGTGTTTCTCAAAGTCACGGATGCTTCCTTGCTAGACCGGATCCCTCAGAGTTCAGTCCTACAGAGGCTAGGCAAGACTCCTTCCTAGCATTCGGCGAATACACTTTGACACAGGGTAGCAAACGCCCAGATGTATGTTGGTGAAGAGGCCCCACCTTCACTTCCTACAAACTGTGCACAAAGCATTGTGGGAACCTGCCCACTGAGGACACACACATGCATCTTTGAAAAATTCTCTGAAGTAAGGACTTGGTCCTTCGTAGAATTCAAAGGATTCTTGACACTGGAGCAGTCCTTTGGTGAGATTTGATGACGTAGCCTACTTAAAATTTACCTTTTTAAGGATCCTTCCTTGTATTTGAGAAGTACCAAATGTTTCAAGATGCCAGATGCAAAAATTCGTTCGTATGAAAGTTGTTCACCAGGTTTATATACTTGAAAAATGTTCACATACTTCAATGTTTTGGGGCTCATAGATTGTGAAGCTGTATTCACCATATGAGAGCTGATTTTTTTCTTAAGATTGAGTACAGGAAAAATGCATCTTGGGCTAATGCACATCATGAAGCTTTCTGCTGGAAGCCTTAACTTGAGACCAAAATTCCCTCACATCTCAGTGCTTTTTCGTGGAAAATGGTTGGCCAAAAAGAAAATTAGCAGATGATGAGACAATAGCTCCCCCTTGTGGAAATTTGCAGCCAGATAAAAGTTAGCATGTGAGGTTGTGAACGACTAAAAAGCTATTTCTTGAAACTAAAAATACTTGTTGATTACAGCAAAGTGTAGGATTATACAAATCTGCTGTTGTGCTTTCCTGAGGCCAACAGAGAATATCTGGGTGATTTTAATATTTATGACAACTATAGAATGAATAAGGACCGGCAACTATAAAAATCTTTTGGATTGAGGTTAAGAAAAATCATTGTCCACCTGCGTGAGAGTCATATTGAGTGAGTGCCACACATTCTATTCAGCCTTACTTTATTGTTTTGGAGTTAGAAATCTCACAGAGATATAAACACCTGGGAAAATAAAACCAAACCATATATCTGCATGCCTAGATAAAAGACAGGTAGGAAAAAAAATGACCACAAGGATTTTTCCGTTGAGTCCGAGGATAGACAGCAGTCACATTCCGGTCACAAGTGTTGATGTCACAGATTTGTTTAGCTGTGAATGTTCACAATGTGGATGACTGACAGCTACAGTGACCTGAGGGAGGAGGCGTGTGCAGGTATGTTCGGCTGAAATGTTCAGATCTTGTAAAGTGATCCAGTTACACACGATTACGTGGAAGACGGATCTCTGCTTCAGAAACCCGATAACACGGCAGCCATAAGTCACAGCAAATGGCTCTATGTGTGGAGAGGACTGTAAATAATACAGCATTCAGTACTTAAATCATACACTACATATGACACACTCACCAGTCAGCATATGAATGAAAATCCATACACCTCCTAACATTCTTGAAGGAGGTTTTCCCATCAGGGAGCCTGGCGTGGATCCGAATACACGTGTCCCCAAAGTCCAGTTCATTTGGTGAATGAACTGGAAACACTGTGTATTGTACCAAGGTACTATGTGTGCCAGGGCCCACTTGAAATGGTGGTTTCGAGTACAGTTCACACCAGGTGTGAAAACCAACTCTACCAAAATATGTAAAAGAAGTGCTGTTTCAAACAATTAGCAGTCACTGAGTAGAGTTGCAAAGGCATTTCTCAGTGCCGCCATTCTCATCTGAAATCTGCATATACAAGCAACATGTGTTGATCTCATCCTTTGAGCTGCATAACCATGGATGACGAAAACCAGATTTACACCCTAGCTTACACACGTGGCCTACTCCATTGTGAGCATTTATACTTTATACTCAATCAGCACTGAGATCCTCTGGCAACGTATAAAACAGAAGGCGTATCATTGACTTAGCAATTTCACACACATATGACGTGAGTTATTTGTGCACATGAAGCAAGTAAACACAAAATATTATAGCATTTAAACTCACAGGAGTAATCCCAGGTAGCCAAAGTGACCTGACCCAGAATCAGCCTGAACTTGGCATGATGGATGAAATTAGCTGGGCCACATCCGGTTGCTTGACTCTGCTGAGACTTGTATGAATGCTGCCCCAGAAACGGGCCAAATCAACTGGGCTGATTCCGGCTGCCAACACTGCCATCACTGGGATGT